AAATTTTAAAACCTCTTATAATAATACTTTGGCCATCTGTCACCTTCTACCAAAGTATTCAACCTTGTGTCCTTCTAAAGACAGATCCTTCTGCCGTCAAATCCGTGTTAACACAAGGACTGAGTTGAGAGTGACCTACGTAGACAGTTTCATCCACAGCAATGTCACTAGTACCTGGGAGATGGCTGTGCTGGGTGAAAGAAGACACAGGAAGGTGTCCCAGTTTCCTAGCTACAGCTGTCACTGTCACAACGGCGATCCACATCAGACTCACTCAACATACACACAAACACGAATGCGGGAGCTTCAGGAAGTTTGTGGAAAATGAAATCAAAGTAAAAATGTATTTTAGTGAGGAAAAATAAAAATCCAGTGCCAGCCAGGTGGTGTGGTGGTTAACGTGGGCCCCACATGGCCAACTGTGTAGTTTAAGTCTTGGAACCAGAGGCTTGAAAAACATGCCAAGTGCATGTGAGTGCATGCCCAGAGTCCCAGCAAGAGGGAGAGATGGAGGAAGGGGATTGCAGTGTGATCATCCCCTGCCCCCCGCCCCCTGCCCCGTGCTTTTCACTTTCCTTCTGTCTGTGGAGTGCATATGTCCTGTTGCAAATTTTTAAAAATCAAAATCTATGCAAAGTTTTTTCATAACGCACTTTAAAAATTACTTAATTTTATTTATTATCATCATCATTAGACATTTTTTTGACTATGGAGAGAGAAGCAGGGAAAGTGCAAAAGCAAGCTGCCAGATCCAGGACTCAAGCTAAGGTCAGCCCTGTGAGAGTCCAGCCTCCTTAACAACCACGCCAGTTGCTGGCCCCAATACACACTTTTAAATGAACTTTTTGAAAATCCTAGTACAGGCCACACAGGTATGGCCAGACACACAAAGATGGGGAGACTTGCTCTTTTTTTTTTTTTTTTGAGAGGTTTTCTCTATAGGACGTGTGTGCTCTCGCCAGACAGACAGAAAGACAGAAAGTGAGAAATCACCCCCCAGGGGGGATGGTCATGCCCACAATCCCTTCTCCTCCATTCTCCTCTCAGGATCTTGGGCACGCACGCACGCACGCACACACGCACACGCCTGGCATGAGTTTTAAGCCACTAGGTCTGAGACGCAGCGACATAGCCATTATGCTAACTGCTGGTCCTGGGAGACTTGCTCTTAAACAGAAACTACACCTACGTGTGCGCGCACAGACTACATAGGGAGCTTGTCCTCAGATACAAAACACACCTACATGCACACACACACACAGAGAACAGAGATGGAAACAGAAGAACAGGCAGATTTCACTAACTTGAAAGGATAGTGCAGGATTTAAATTTCATCCAAGCTTTGATGCATTGAATTAGCGGAAGGAGAGGATGTGGAGAAGCTGACAGCACTAGACCAAAGGGCTAAAACGAATTCAGAAAATGAACACCCTTGTTATTCAAAAGGAGACACTGGGGAATCTTTCTACTTGGGTAAACTCACTGATAATCATTTCAGTCTCCTTGACTGTGATGGCCGTCAAGGGGAAGAGACGTGCTGTTTTACAGCTGTGAGCAGGGCGAGGGGCAAGTGAATTACAGACTCCATTCCCGTTAAAACCAACAGGCAGGGCCGGCAGGAGCCTAGTGGTTAAGGGAGCTGAGCCCACATGGCCTGCCCTGGTTCAATCCCAGCCAGGGTTTGACAAAACAACCTGAGGTTGCTTGTATGAGCCTGCCCCATTCCCGGCAGCTGGAGAAAAAGAGGATTGTGCTGTGGCCGCGTCCCACTGCCGGGTGCTTTCTCCCACTAAGAGCCTCTCTGGCGAGGGCACGTGCCCTCTGAAAATTGAAAAAGCTACAAGGGCAGAACCTGAAATCACCACCAACTCTCAATGTTACTGTATGCTCTGGATTGAGCTTTAAAGGTCAGAACTTCTTCACGTAACTGTTAGCAAACCTACAGGGAAAAAATACATCGCGGAAGAAAACTCTTGTTCCCCAAGCACTATTTTTGGCACTATGCGCTGGAACACTGCATACCCGAGGCGTGCACTGGACAGAAGGGACTCCGGGAAACTCACAAGCAATGCCCTAGATTTGGCTTCCCACCCTTACAAAGGCGTGCCCTTGAGGGTTCCCGTTTTCAGCTGACTGACTTCCGCGTGAGGGTGTGTGTTGGGGGGAACCCATGCCTCGGGACCCGCGGCAGAGCGGCTTTCACTGAGCCGGGGCCGCGATCTGGCAGTAGGCTCAGGCGGGGAGCGCTGGGCTGCGTCTTGGCGCGCGTATGGGGCTGGGATTGAGCTCAGCGCACCGCGGCGCTCCACAAACATACCTCACCCTGAGGTTGAAGATTCCCAGAAGAATGGAGGGGCTTTGGCTCCAGCTGGGAGGATGTCCAGGACTGGACGTACCGAGGAGGTGCCGGCGGGCACACTCTGGGGCGTGCGGAAGCGGTGAAGAAACTGGCTGGCTGCGGGTCCTGGAGCGCACACGCAGATCGGTGCGCACTTGCACCGGTAACTGCGCTCCTTTGCCAGAGCACTGCTCCTCCTTTGCTAGGAAGGCCGCCCTCCTCCATCCCCGCCTGGAGAGCTTTGGACTGCCACCTGAGTGTGTTCATTATGTAAGGGGAGCACGCCGAGCCGGAAGAACGCGGGGGTATCCCCACGAGGGCGGCAGGTACTGGGTCACTCCTGAGGTTCTGGAACCTGGAGAAGATCACTCTATTTGCACAAGGAAGTCTTCCCCAAGGCTCAGCTGGCTGTTTTTCCGTCCTCCAGGCAGATCTCTGCCTTAGAACCTCATCACTCAGGAGCCCTGGGGGCTGAGTGTGCACTGGGACTTGATTTGGGCGCTACTGGCCAAATGGCCCAAGGTGGCCTCTCAGTTCAAGTGTGACTTGTGGAGCCACAAGCAGATCGATGTCTCTCTGGAGGGCAGGACTCTACGGGCCACAACAGCACAGCCACCCTGCCACCACACCAAGCGTACTGGCAACTCCATGCCAGTTCCTGTCCTAAGCTCTTCAAAGATACCATCTCATTTCATCATCATTATAAACCCATCTATGGATGAGGAAACAGATCCTGAAGTGATCAAAGCCACTGGTAGGTACCGGGAGCTGGAATTTAAGCCCAGAGTCCTGGGGTTCAAGGGCCTGAGCTCTTCTGGGTGTGTGCCCCAGCGGCCTAGGTCTCTGACACAGTCCAGAGAACACCTGAGTCTTGCTTTCTGCAAAGTTCAGTGATCCCGGGTCTCCCGCATCTGGCTGCACTCGGGGTTGAGTGGGCACCCATGCCCTCAGCTGCTAGGACTGCCTGGGCCTCTTCTTTTACAAGCCCTGGAGCCTGTGCTGAGAAGCCGCGGTGAGTCTGGGGGCAATGCAAGATTAAGGGGAGCCTCGGAGAGGTCTGGGTTCAACAAATACCTCCTTGGTTTAAAAAGACAAGTCTCAGGACCAGCAGTTAGCTGAATTCCCATGCAGTCGGCTTCATTTGAGTCCTGGACCTGGTGGCTTAAACTCACGCTGGCTGGGAGTGTGTGTGTGTGTGTGTGTGTGAGTGCCCAAGATCCCCAAGATCCTCAGGGGAGAATGAAAGAGAAGGGATTGCACGTGGCCATTCCCCCTGGGGGGGGTGATTTCTCACTTTCTATCTCTCTGTCTCTGTCTGTCTTTCTGCTGGTGAGCTCACGTGCCCTATAGCAAAAACCTCTGAAAAAAAAAAAAAAAAGAAAAGGACAACAAGTCTCAGTGCCAAGCTCCAGCAAGCCTCACCTGATGAAGGTTGCTTGCCCAAGGAGTTTATGAAGAAGGGCACCGTAACTAGGCAGTGCTTGGCAAAGACCAGGCGGTATTCCAGCAAGAATCAGATGCAACCAGGTCAGAGTGGGAATCGGCCAAAGGAACGGCTGCTGGGGTCGGTGAAGGACTTGGAGAAACTCCGCAGTAGCAGCTCTCTGATTGCTTCAGCAAATGATGATCATGGCCATAAAACAATAGCTAATATTTGTGGAGAGAGAACTTTTTCTTTTAAAAAGTTTGCTACAGGGCATGTGCATTTGTGGGGGTGGGAAGGCGAAGGAGGAAGAGAGTGAAAAAGTGTGCATGGGGGGAGGATGGCTATGCCACAATACCTTCTTTATTCTCCTCTTGGGGTTTTTGGGCGCAGGTACACACCCTGGGCCACAGTATCCAAGCCTCAGGGACTGCACAGTCGGTCATGTGGGCTCCAGCCCCTTTAACCACAGCCACGGCTCATCCCTGGAGGTAACTTTTCTAGATACTGTATTCTGACTTTTTAAAAATTTTAATTATAATTTTTAGCTGACATATATGAAGTTTAAAACCTCACAGCACTCCCTGAGGTAATATTTACCTCCCCTCTGTAGATGAAGAAACAGGGCATAGAGAGCTTGAATACTTTTTATCAGGATTGTGGGCAGCTATTTGAGAGAGCCAGAGTGGGGCTGAGATGGAGATTTGCCAGGCTTTCCAGCCCAGGTAGGTGTGGTGAGGCCAGGAGAAGGCCAGTCTCGCTGACTAGGAAAGTTGCCTTTTCTGACCCTGGGGACTTTCTTTTCTTTGGAGGGGTATTTTGACGCAATTTCTTTGCTCTAGACAAAACAAAACAAACTTTCTTTTACTCTCTTTGTAAAGGAAAATACAAGCAGAGACTCCTGGAACTGAGCGGGTGGCTCAGAGCGTGGGAACCTCAGGGAGGTGGAAGGGCATGCCAGACTTCCGTCAGGCAGCTTCCAGAGAAGCAGGGTACCAAGGGTTTGAAGCCCACTGCCAGGGCACCTTTGTCCTCCATAACACAAGACATCCAGCCCCTTGGCTCAGGGCAGAGACTCATCCAAACAACTTTGCCTTTGGAGAAAGGCCTCCCCTAGGCGTCAGGGTGCAGGGTGGCCCCTGCTCCCAGAGTCCAGCGTTAGCCAATGGCACTCTGAACTCCCAACCCCCCCCCAGCTGTATTTCCTGAGAGAGTCATCTTAATCAGAAACTCTTGAAAATAAAACAAAAATGGAAAATCATTATGCTGTTCTAGCTTGAACCCAAGTGCGGTGTTTTAATTCCCTGCGTTTCCCTGGTTACTACAGAAAGAATACATGCCGGCTTAATTTTAAAAAGTCATTGAAACCATTGCACTGTAGGAAAGGTTTGAAACAAAGTGAGAAGAATCCATGTTCATCTCGTTCCATGGCATTTGCTTTTATTAAGCATTTTCCACCAATGTAACCTGAACACAAGACCCACACCTTGAAAGGAGGAACTGGCCTGGAAACTACAGACCTGATGGTTTAAAAACTGTCAGATGATTTTAAAACTTTAAATAAAAAGATTTTTTTTCCAAACCCTCCAATCACATATGTTTTTTGTAATTTCTAAAAATAGTGGAAAGCCTACTGACTTGGTGAATAGTTTTTGTCTCGGAGGTGTCCCAGGCCGCGCTGCTTATCCTCAGCATAGGCTGTACAGCCCTGAGGCCAGGAACAAGATCCACATCCTACACAGAAAGCCTCAAGAAGCCTTGGTTCTCTGAGCACTCAGGGGTGCACGGGGCTCCCTCAGCCCTGGATCCAGGCAGGTCTCCCTTGCCTCCTCAGCCAGCGTCTCAGGCACTACTAACACACAGGGACTCTCCCTGCCTGCGCCCTAGTCCCGCTGCCCAGCCAGCCTTGTAGGAGATTTTCTTTTCTTCAGAGAAAAGAGGTAAAAGGTTAAAGGATGGACGCTAGTGAAGTAAGCAGGTCCAGGACGAGGATGAAAGAGAAAAATTGAATAAAGAGTTCGAGGAGGGAGTAGGAAAGAGAAGCGCAAAAAAAAACGAGAGGGAAAAAAAAATCCAGAAGGAGGAGGGCTAGTTCTTTTTCGGGGTATCATTGTCGCTGCATCTCCGAACCCTCAAAGATTTCCTTTACGATGATTGTCTAATGTCAAGTAGTCGTCCAAGTAAGAAAGGCTGTCTCTGGGCAGGTGCAGGCCCCCGGAGCACGGGGATCAGTGCCGTTTGCATCGTCTTTGGAGAGGCTGCGCGGTCGAGTGCTGGCGGCGGAGAGGGATGTGCGCAGCAGCGACAGACACCGCCAAGCCAGTAATGCCGCCAGGAGAGGCCCAGGATATTACACTACGAAAGTCTGCTCTCCTTCGGGAAGATCTGCCAGCATCTCAGTGACGCCCCAATGGGCACAAGCGCCGGGGAGAGCGGGTTCTTCCCTGCAGTCTAGGTGGACGCCCCGGCAGTTCCCGCCCCATGCAGCCGCCGGAGCCCGTGTCCACACCTAGGGTCCTAGACCTGCTCCCCCTCCTTCGGGAGTGGTCGAATCCGCCGACAGGGAGCACCCTTCCTCTCACCGGGATTCCTGCGGCCGCAGTGGTGCGACGCTGGAGGGCTGCGGCGACGCGCTCAGGCCGGGAGGCAGACGGCCCTCTCGAGCGGCGGCGGGGGCGTGCCAGCCCCCCCGGGAGTGGGGGGCGGCGGCAGCGCCAACAGCTCCTCGCCCGACGTCACCGCGCAGTCCTGCTCCGGTTCGGCGCCTCCGCCACTCCCGCCCGCCATTCCGCCGCCGCGCTTCTTATCCTCCTCCTTTTTCCACTTCATCCGGCGGTTTTGGAACCAGATCTTGATATGTCTCTCGGTCAAGTTCAGCATTACGGCCAGCTCCACCCGGCGCGGCCTGGAGATGTACTTGTTGAATAGGAACTCCTTCTCCAGCTCCAGCAGCTGCGCGCGCGTGTAGGCAGTGCGCGTCCTCTTGTTCTCCTCCGGCTCCGCAGCGTAGGCGCCGCCTGTGGATGACACTGCGTGAGTGTGGCCCCCGAACCCCTCGCCCAGCCCCACCCACGTAGCCCAACCCCTTTAGTTCCTGCCCACGGAGCCCCAACTTTACACTGGAGCCAGAGCCACAGTATGAGTCCCCCCACTTCAGTGCCTAACGCAGGCGGCGAATCCCTGCCCTAGTAGAGGGAACCCTCTCATGCCGGCCAAAGCTGCGGCACTGGCACTCACATTGTGAGCCGATGCTTGACTCTGCCAGCTGTTCTTGAATGAGTTCAGTTAACCAATGTTTGGGTTGATGATTAAAATACATATAATTGATATTTAAGGGGCTCCATTCTACAAAGGGAATAAAAATACCTTTAAACTAGGATTTGAAATATTTTTTTTCTGACGATGACCCATAGTCAGAAATGCATTTCCCATCACGGTTAAGTTCACACACAGATTTGTGAGTGCGAGCAGTTCAAGAAATGAAAATCAACCTTCCTCATATAGTACTAACCGCCTTTCCCAATTGGTTACCTTTTTTTCCCTTTTTTTCTTTTTTTTCTTTCTTTTCTTTTCTTTTTTTTTTTTTTGAGAGGTTTTTGTTATAGAGCGCTGTGCTTGCTGGAGAGACAGACAGAAAGCGAGAGAAATCACCCGCCAGGGGGTCAGCCCTGCTGCAGTCCTGTCTCCTCCATTCGCTTGCACACGTGCTCCGTGTGTGCGTTTTAAGCCTCTGGGTCTGTGACTGGAACCATCGACTACGTGGGAACCCAGCGATGTAACCATTACACTACCTCTGGTCCCACTATTTTGTTTTTCACACTGGTGATGTCAACACGCCTCACTAATGGGTACAATTCGTAGTTGGAAACCCCCTGTGTTAATACAGACTATGACACATTTTGCTGTGTTTGACCGTATGTTCATATATTTTCTCTATACAGAGTTGTAATCTGCCCCAACCTGAATGCTGGTAAATTCTGCACAATACCATATCAACCTCAGCCAGGCCCCTGCAGACAAGCAGAAAGAATGCTGGTTTGGGTAATATCTTTTTCTAGTGGATGCAGAATGCAGGCTGCCGCTCATTCTGCACCCAGTGCCTTAATTGCTTACAGAGGCAGAGACAGAGGCCGCTGGGAGCTGGGCGTTCAATGGCAAAGCTGTGAGCTGCAGGAGAGGGGTGGTGATGTAGAAACAACCCTCCAACCGCTCAGGGCTCTCAGCTCAGAACCTGAGCTGCATGGAAGCTACAGGGTACCCCTGCAGGCCGCTCAGTGTTTGCTGCTGTGCTCGAGGTTGGGATGTTTTCCTTTCTGTGCAAAATACCAGCTGTACCTGGGCTCCAGGAACAGGCTGAAAACGGGCTTATCTTTGGGCAGAGGTGGGAGACATTTCTCCTGCATCTGTTGGTGAAGCGGTTGAAAGGAGTGTGTGTGTGTGTGTGTGTGTGTGTGGTTAATTTCTCGATGAAATCCACTCAGTTTTGAACAAGACCTAGAGAAGGTCCCAGAAACCCAGCCAGAGGCTAACACTAATCCTTAGAGGATTCCTGCTCCCTGAAGAACCTCCCCAGGTTTTTCAGGCCTCTCCTGGTATGGGAGAAAAGGGAAGGGGACCTTAAAGGAACGTTTAAAAAGAAGCTTCAAGGATAAAAATTCAACCCACAACTTCTCAAGGCTCCAGACCTTGCCTGAGGCCTCCCAAAGGCATTTCAAGAGGCTTCCCCGGTTTCATTACCCTGGGGAAACTCGTGTTTAGGACACGAGGCGTCCATGGGATGGAGGTAGAGGATGGAGGCTGCTGGTGTTTCTGGGAACACGACTGGGGCCCGACCTGGGCCCCTCCTTACGGAGCAGGATGGGGCCAGGCCGTTTAGAAGAGAGCAGGTCAGCCACAGCTAACATTTCGCATTTCGTTTAACAGCCGCCCCTATGGTCAACACTATTTATATTCATACTGCCAGGGCAAGCCCTTTGGTCGGTTCACTGTTCTCAGAAGCGAAAACCCTAGTGGGCGCCAGGTGGGTTCGCCAACCCTTTAAGTTCGGCTCCTTCGAAAGTTTCCCAGGCTAACTAGGAAGCCGCAGCAGCCTTGTGTAGGCTGATTCCGGAAGAGACGGATGTCGGTCCCTTTCTAGGGGGCTAAGCAGTCCTGGACTCCCCAGCGTGAGGATGTCGCCCTTCTAGGGTGTTTCTGACTCCCAAGCAAGGCTGCCGATTTTCCTTCGGGTTTATTTCTTGGCTTCTTGGGTCCTCCTGAGCCCACGCTCCATCAGAGCAGGGCGGGCACTCCTTGCAGGTGGAATGGGGGAAGATAGGAAACCTCTTCACTTGAAAAATCCTTTCTGGACTTCCTTCTTGGTTTTCCTGGGGAAGCCGGAGGCCAGAAGGGCAGGAGCGTGGAGGGCCCCGATTGCCGGAAACTCGGTCCCCAGCGCATGGAGGGAAAGGAGCCCTGCACCGAAGGTGTCCCAGGCCAGAAACTATCTGCAAGTTCACCACCCTTGGTCGAGGACCGCTCCTCCAACCTCCCAGAAACCCCCCATTTCCCAAGACTCAGGTCTTTGGCCCGGGCCACGTCGAGGGGAAAAGTACTCAGAGCCGTCTGGGCAGCAGTTGGAGCCCCTTTAGCCAGGGCTTCGCTGGAGATGGGGGACCATGGAAGCCGAGTTTGGGCGCTGTCCTGCCTCAGGACCTTCGATTTAGAGAGAAAGTGAACTGGAAAGAGGCGAGCCCTTGGGACCCTGGGCGAGCCCGTCTCCCCCTTACCCCCCAAAGCCCGGCTTGGCTTCGCGCTGGTCAGTATCAGGCAGAAGTGGCTAGACTCCGCAGATAAGGCACCAAGGATTCTCAGGCTGGGAGAGTCGACTTGAGTTTCTTTTGCCCCAACTCAGTTGTCAGTTGAAAGAAAGAGAAAATGCAGCTATTTGCAATACAGGTGTGACCAGAAGTGGCTGCGCCACGGAAGCGATAACATTGTGTAGCGGCGGCACAGGCCCCGGACCTCGCCGGCCGCCAGCGTGGGGCGGGGAAGGGACCTGGGGTCTGCTCCGCGTCTCCGCCTCCCGGCTCCCGGCTCCCCGCTCCCGGAAAGACCTTCTGTTACTTGCGGGCTTCCAAGGCCCCGGGCACCCAGGGCTCCCGCCTTCCCGAGCCGGCTGTGCAGAGGGGCGCATCTACTTGTTTAAACTTCCCGGGAAACAGTGCAAAAAGGATCCCAGAAACGCTTTTGGTTGGTCAGCCATGAATTAGCATCGCAGACGCCTCTTCCAGCTGCCGAGCTCGAGGGTGAGCTGCCGGGTTTTGGCCTAGAGGTGAGCGCTCGACCCACGGCGCGCCCCAGCCCCTCCCAGTTCACGCTCACCTCCCTCCATTTCCCCACCTGGGCCGCTAGATGCCTTGCAGGGGTGGATGCAGTTTTGCTTTATTTCTCTGCCTTTCTGCATCAACCTGGCCCTCCTGAGACTGCCTGCGCTGCTCTAATGAAGCCGCCGGAGTAGGCTGGGGAGGAGAAAACCAGGCCTCAGAAGGTGCTCTCGGGACTGAGTCAGAGACATCCTGGGCCCTTCTGGGCTTCCTCCACGCGCGCCACTGACACGCGTGACCGCCCTCTCCAGAGTCTGAGCCCGGTTAGGCGTCAGCACTTTGGGGGTGACACTGGGAGCGCGCGGGCTCATGGGAGTGAAGTTCGGCTCAGCAAACAGGAAAGGGCTGGCTGTACGTTCCCACCGGGAGAACTGGTGGGAAAGATGCTCTCTGCAGAAAAGCGCTTCCCTCCCGGCTTTGTCTAAGGGGGCTGGCTGGAGACCGGACCCAGGGAGGATGCAGAGTAGCGCTTGGAGATTGAGAGGCAGCAGGGCCCAGAGCTGGGGAAAGAGGCGGGAAGCCAGGCTTACCTGCCCACTGGCCTTTCCACGCATGAGCTTTGGTAGACTTCATCCACGGGAAAGGCAGCTGGACGCGGCTGGGTTCCTCCAGGGCTCCAGGCTCGGTTCCATCCGGAAAGGGCCCGGCGGGGTGATGGGGGAGCGCGAGCTGAGCAGGAAGGTGATGGTGGTGGAGGTGCGCCACTGCAGAGTCTTCGGCGAGGGGCGGCACTTCGTACGGAGAGATGTCTGGGGGGCTACCCTGCTCCAGCGCGCCCAGCGAGCCGGGGAACGCGAGCGGCGGCGGCGGCGGGGGCTGGCTGCCCATGTACAAGCACGCGGGGGGACTGGCGCTGAACTCTGGCGCGGGGCCCCTCTGGAACGCGCACGGGTCCTTGTAAAGCTGCGTGGCTGCGTAGTACTGCTCCTCGCCGTTCATGGCTGCAGCCAGGGCTTGGGGACCAGGAGCCAGGAGTAGGGAGCTGGAGCGGGGACTTGGCGCTCTGACTCCGGGCGCCACCCCGCTCTCTTTGACAGCTTCGCACTGTTCTCAGAGGGAACCCGAGGCCAGCCGGGACAGGCGGGCCGGCCGCGGCGCCATAGGCTCCGGCGTGCCCCACGTGGCTCAGCCTGTGGCCATTATTGGTCTGGCTGACAGCCTTAAGAAGAGCGGCCCAGGTACTCGCGAGCACCCGCGTTTCTTCCCATTTTCTCTTCCCGCACGGTTTGATGCCCTCGCATGTATGCCCTCCCAAGCGGGGCACGCACGAAAACATCAGAAGTTCATTTATAGGAACATCTTCACTGTACTTGAAACGTTTCTTTTTTCCCTGTATCGTTGATGATGTGCATACTAGCTCATTAATATAGTTTATAAGTCAACGTATTTGATATTGTAATTTTTTAACTTGGAGAATATGATCAAAAAGCTTGCAGATCCAGCCTTATAGGTCACTGTTTTATTTATGAAGTTTCTTTCCATCGGTGATGTTGTTGAATGAACATTTGAAACCCTAGCATCGTTGCGTGTTTTTATCCATGGTTGTGCTCCACGGTGTAAACTGTAACTTCAAAAGCACGTACAATGGCTTCGTTTCTTTTTTTAATTCGAGAGGTATTATTCATTTTGACTTAGGGAAATCGGGGCCCATTTGACCAACTCAGAATGTAGTTTCCAAGGTGGCCAGGGGACTGAAAGGTGTCCCTCTCTGGGCTGGGAAGCCAGGGAAGGAGGTGTGTGTGTGGGGGGCGGTTTCAGATCCTTTATCTTCCAATCTGGACACTCAGGGAGGATTGTAATGAGGCAGGAGTGGGAGGACTTGCCATGGAGGGGAGTGGGACATTTAGAAAAAGAAATTAAAACTTTGCGTTTCCATGTCTTCTGGGCACTCTGGGGTCAGGATTTAAGCGGAGCCACTTTCTTCACACCCACTGGTGTGGACTACCTCCGAGAGGTGGTGGCGCTCACTGTGCAACCTGAGTATAAGGAACCCTTCTGACCTCCCAGAACTGGGCAGCCTCGCCAGCCTCAGCCCACCGGGCCCCCACTCGCCCAT